TTGGTCTACATTTATTTTGTTCTTACATAAGCTCATCTAGAAAAAAACTGGTCAGATTTGGGGGCCTAAACAACTAACCGAAACGATAAGAAAAAACTAATTGATTAACTCAAATTAAACCTGAGACACTCTTTTGTCACTAATTAATTTGGGACCTATTTAGTTTTAGGATTCAAATTATTTTATTTAATCTATCCGAATTCTCAAGCAGAAGAAAATTTAAACTGAATTGAGTTTAGTTCCAAGTTCCAAGTTCCAAGTTCCAACTTTGATCCTCCATAATTGACTTACGAGCTACACATCCCGGTTTCGTGGGCGTTTTCGGACATCACTATTCACGTATGGACTAAATTACCCTCCCCAATTCCTAAAATTTGCACGAATATTCCATGTCTAAGTTTTTAACATTCGAAACTCATGTTCTTTTATCTTCTTCTAGATTGACACTGCTTTTTTTTTTGTTCTTTCTGATTCTTCAGTTGTTTTATTGTAAAGTCATCGCTGGCGCAAGATGATGCAAAAAGCTTTCGTGTTCTCTTCTTCAAACCCAATCTCTCTTCAATTGTCAACACCGGTTACTCCGCCTGTCAACGCCGTGTTCCCAGAACTAAGCCGCGGCTGGATCGCTTCTTCCTCTCCCCTCCAGCCACCGGTACTTCGCTTGCGAAATCACCAACGTGCCCTCCCTCCTCTGCTCTGCTCTGGTAATGTCGTTGTTTTGGTACTACTCCCCCAACTAAACTAGTACAGCGGAAGAGTGTTTGTTGAAGGCTATTAACGTAAAATAGATGGGAAGAAGATATTTAAGCTAGGGGCAGTCTGGTCAAATAAACATCAATCGAATACGATTGGTTCACTCTATAGCAGGAATTGATTCGATTACGATTGGTTACTTTTTATTTTATTTTGGTTTTTTTTTTTCAGTCAGTGTCAACAGGGCGGCATTTCTCTCGGTGGCTTTTTCCTTCTATTGGCAAAACAAAATCGAAAATATCTGATTGGGTGTGCTCTGTATTTGTTGGGTTTGAGCAGCGAGTGACTCTGCGACAAATCAACAGCGAATGGCGTCTCAAGATGGGAAAGACCCTCGGATTTCCAAAATTTCTTCTGCGATTCGTGTCATCCCAGACTTTCCCAAACCTGGTGAAGAACTTCCCTTTACCCTTCTTTGCATCTTGCTTCTTTTTTGTATTTCTGCTACAGGTTGCTCTTTTGCTTTTATTAATGTTTTTGAGTTCTTCTTCCTTTGATCAGGGATTTTGTTTCAAGACATAACAACTTTACTTCTTGATGTCGAGGCATTTCGTGATACTATTGATTTGTTTGTTGAGAGATACAGAGGGAAAGATATCTCTGTTGTTGCAGGTAATTTCTTGTCTTAAATGCATATCAATCTGTTTTGAACACGTGAAAATCCTGACCTGCTTGATTAGCAAGCCATAAGTACAAGAATTTAAGAAGTGAGATTAAAATGCATCGGGGAACTGATCAAACGTCACTAATTCAGTGTTATCTGAATTTCTTTGTACTATATTAATGTCTGTAGTATTTTCATTTTTGATATGTAGCAATTGTGTTTGTGATTTTGTAGCTGATGTAATCTTGATGCCAAAATTCAGGTATAGAAGCAAGGGGATTCATATTTGGTCCACCTATTGCATTGGCTATTGGGGCAAAGTTTGTTCCAATGAGGAAACCCAATAAGTTGCCTGGTATATCTTCCGCTACTGATTTCTCTCATAATGATTTTTACAGTTCTGTGGAATTGAGTTCTTGTTTAGCACTGAAGCTGATTAACCATTAAAGAATCACAATTTTTAATCTTATTTATTTATTCCAGCTCTACCAAAAGTGGTGACGCCTTTCTCAAAATTTTCTTTTGTTTTTTCTAGTTAATGTTTATCATCATGAAGTACTTCATGAATGACTCAACAAATAATATGACGTGGTTCACTATTGATAATCTTGCCTTTGGTCCGATTTCAGGAATCTCCCAATTTATCCTACAAATGCAAGCATAGTACTAATTATTAAGGACTACGATTTTTGTATTAAATGTTAAATGTTTTGATCTATATCAGGGGAGGTTATATCAGAGGAGTATTCTTTGGAGTATGGAACAGACAAAATGGAGATGCATGTTGGTGCTGTGCAAGCAGGAGATCGTGCGTTGATCATAGATGATCTCGTTGCCACTGGTGGAACCTTGTCTGCTGCAATCAGGCTACTTGGTAGTTGAATTTAAATATGAATGTTGAGATCTTACTTATTTTCATCTCTATGTCACATAAAATGCTGGAGAGTGACTTTGCTTGGTCACCACAACTATAAGGGGGCATATGACTTTGGGGAGGAGAACAAGGGAGTGCCTGACGATTGTCTTCTCCTTTGATTGGAGCTGGCCGTTGCTCCTGTTTATCTTCTTAGAACATTGCTATTTACCTGGTTGGTTATTTTTTGTAGAGCGCGTTGGAGTGCATGTTGTGGAGTGTGCTTGTGTTATTGAATTGCCAGAGCTAAAGGTACGTGTCCTTAATCTCAGACCTTCCTGCTGTCTATAAATTGCTAAGCTATTAGGCTTCAGTTTCTTCGACCTTCCAAATTGGTCTCTATGATAATACTGAACTGTACGTAGACTTAACTATTTTGGAACTATTATGACCAATAAAGCTACAGGTTCAGCCTATTAACATGTCTATAAATGTGCTATGGAGTAGTTTGTAGTGAGGCATGTCAATGGGTAATCATAAGACATAAATATTTAGAATAGTAATTGTGTTTTGAAGGAACAAAAAAAAAAAACAAGTGTTACAATATTGTAAAAGGAAAAGTCTGCCAGATGTTGCTTATGGTAATTAGACTTGGTAGGCAAGTGTTTTGGTGCCATACTAGGTTAAAGGAGGGATATCCTCTTTGCTCTAGTTTCATATTGCAAATATCATCCTCTTTTCCTTTCTTTTCTGAGCCTAGGCCAAAACATATTAGGGCGTACAATAAGGTCATAAAGATATAATTCCGTTGTCATCTTCAATATGACTATAATTGTCCTTTTATGTATTTGATGCAGGGTTTTAAGGAGCTTGACTTCTTATTTTTATTTTAGTTGCATTCATTCACTAGTTTTTGTCTTTTTCATTCACTGGAGGTTTGTACGATAGGATCTATGTCTTCTCTCTTAAAATAAAGTTGGATAATGAAACTAGCAAAGTTAATGGCAGTAAATTTCGTGTAATGATTATCATTAATTTAATTCAACTACAGCGAAGAGGCATGGATATAATTCCACATTGACAGTAGGCCAATAACTACAACTATTAACTGAATTGTCATTTCAGTTTGTGCTATATGTCCATTTTGCTGTCTTGTCAATTCCTTGTATCAACTAGTAAAGCTTTGAAATTACAGACTTGTGTATTCTGTTGGTTTCTGACTTCCCATGTGCCATGCGTCAAGCGTAAAGCATATTATATTCTTCTAGTGTCATATATGCGTTGCTATTTGCTTTCTTTTTATTCTTTTCTCTATTTATATTTCAGGGTCGGGAACGGTTAGGAGATACACCACTGTTTGTTCTTGTAAGCTCTGCGTGATCTCACAAGTTTTGCAGTCAAAGAGCATGCTTATTGGCCTTTTGAGTTTGCAATATAGCTAGCCCAAAGCCTAACAAACTACTTGGTTCAATAAAAGGGCTACGGTTGGTACTTAAGGTCAGATTAGATTGAACTAAGAACTATGATAAGTTTAGGTATTGTTGACATTCCTGTCTGTATCTCTGAAGAGAAAGTCTGGAGGTGAGTGTTTACTACAAAGGTTGTATTCCTGCTTGCACAGATGGTTGGATTGGCTTTTATTGAGAGGTCTTGTTTGTTGATGCAAGAGATTCTCTTGTGAAGGCCATTGTTTTTGTTGTCAAGCTGAATTCACCCCTTGCTGACTATTGATTTTGACACTCGTATATTACCTTTTAATCCTATGTTGCTGCATGAAATAAGTTGGTGATGGAGAAGATCAGAAAGGAGACTTCAGAGAAGAACAGTTTTGTTTTCTACAATTTTCTATTCCAAGAAAGAAAATCAAGAGAATAGGAAAATGAAATTTGATTACTCATTTGATAAAACAAATGACAAATAGCAAGATTCCAATAAATGTCTCTTAGTTGTATCTTAATTAGCTATATAAAACCATTGTAGTATGCATGTCGGAAAAGAAAGGCGAAGTGAATTTTCGCCATGCAGTAAAACAGTTTTTCTTCCATGGCAGTGAAGAGGCAAGGGTAAACTCTCATGTGCTGTAGCATTTTACGTTTTTTGTCTTGAAAATCTTAAGATGAAATATCAGAGGAAAAGTCGAAAAAACATGAGATTTTACTTCACCATGAAATTGATTTTTTGAACCTAGCTAATACTAGATTTCTACCATGGCTTTCGCTTCATAGCATCAAACTAACAATAACTTGACATCTAGAAAACTTTGCCAGGATTAAGGTATTCATCGTCATAATAATATATAGACGCTTCCCATGGCATTGAATAAATTAACGAATTCATATTTCTGTTTGCCCAACCTCATACCGAAGGGAAAAGCTAAAATATGGTCTATTTTCTTTATCCTTGCCTATCATATATAGTAAATTAATACATGGAATATAGCTGTAAGGGGAATAACTAATCTTTTCCTTAATACACAAGAACAGCAATGATGAACTGGTAGTTACTTTCAAACTACAATTATGCTCTACAGTCGACTTGACTAAGCTTCTTCGCGCATGCGCCATGCTCTTCCCAAGCCTTTGTATTCTTAACCCTTTCTTTTTTTTTTTGAAAATAAAGATATACTGAACAAAAACCAAGCAAAGCTAATTTAATTGTATGATTCATTTTAGTCAGCCATCTCCCCCCAACCACAAAATAAAAAAAAAAAGAGTTGAAGTCTGTAATTAACTGAATTTGGAACTGGTCCCTTATTTTTTTTTTCTTTTTGGTTAGTTTGAGGGTTCATAAGTGGTCCCTTTATTTCACCATTATTTTGATAATAATCATTCAACCCTCGGGATTAATTTCCCTGTTTCCCATGAAATAATATAATACATTTAATAATAACAAGTTGACATTTTATTAATTTATCATTTCTTTTAACCATAATTATATGCACCTATAAAAAATAATTAAATTCAGTGAGCATTGACTTTGTAAATTAATAATTACAAGCAAAAGATAAGATAAGTGTATAAACATAATTAAATACTAGAAATTAATTCTTTTTATTATCTTCAACATTAAAAATGCCAATAATATAAAAACCAATTCTAAGGGAGGCCCTTTTTTTTTTGTTTTGTTTTGTTTTTTTCCTTTCTTTCTTTTTAGTTTAAGAAGATCTTTTTCCTTTCATGACAATAATATATGAGCTATATAGACACTTAGCCAAAAACCGAGAGAATATGGGGAGTTCTATACATATACATATATTATCTGATCAATAGTATCATTACCCTTTTTTTGGTTTGGATCCTTGCGTATTTTACAAAGTTGTATATCAATTTATTATCATAATAGATGGAAAAAGTTGAATGAACTTGCAATTCAATGTAGCATTTTTTTTATTGTTCTTTAATTTCATTTGTCAATATATACACATAGAATTTGAAGTCCTTTTTTGTGTCATTTGGGGAAATTAATTTTGATATTATAATATTGTCATGAAATAATTATTCTAAACGCACCCCCTCCCCCCCCCCCCCCCCCCCCACCAGCCACCACTTAGTGTTACATTATTTTAAAGGCTATTAGACTAAGGTGCAAACAAATAATTAAAAACTTTCATTTGAAGGAACATTTAAAGTATACAAAATTAATATTAAATTTTAAAGCGTGGACTAGAGACACGCATGCATATTAACTTTTTATGTTTGATGAAGAAAGCATTGTTTTACCAACCACGTCGGCCCACCTTAACATGGCTTTTCAAAAACCAGATAATGTTAATTAATTTTCACACTCCACCCTATACTATCGGTTTGGAGACACATCCCTCTTATTATATCTTTAATACTCAACTCTACACGAATACAACTAATCAGTGATTCTTAATCTTAATTAAAGGAGTACGGAATTAACAGCTCTTTTTCTTTGTAAAATGAAGTCGGTTATCTTGTGTATTTATTGATTTTATTAAAATTTTGTTTCATCAATATTTATTTATTTATATTTATTTTTTTGGTGAATTTTTTGGATTAACTTACTTTCTTCCACCTACAATTTTTTTTTTTTTGTGCTTAACTTATGTATGTATGAATTATTAATAGTGTTCACTGTTTAGCAATGGAAATGAACGGCTCGGGAATTGAGGGATGAATGATGATATTGTTTTCTAATGTAGGTAGGAATGCAGCAAATGGACAGGTGGCTGAATAAAGAGCAGTCACATAGCCAAAAGGTGGGAGATGAAGATGGAGGCAAATTATAAGGTCGTTGGTAGTTTGACGAGACAGGAAGCAAGCTGGCTGTCCTGATGCTTTGTCATTTTAAAGGAAAAAGAAAGAAGGAAAACCTTTGGTAAGCTATAATATAAAAAGGTTGGTGATTTTCAGGGGAATGTGGCAAGCAAAGAAACAGCTAATTCTAAATTCCAAGGAAGAAGAATAATATCAGATTTTGATAAGTTAAAAATCCCAATGCGGCTTGGCTATGTCTTTCTTGATTTTGTTCCTTTCCGGACATGCTAGAGTTTTGTTGTTTGAAAGGTCGTGCAATGGCCGGTGCAAGCTCCAAACCACACCAAAGACTTATCGAACTTTCCTTTTAACAACCCTCAAAAATGGTCTCTGTCTGACACGTCAGTTTGTAACGATGGTTTCGGCGGAATCATAGGGGCCAAACTACAATAATTTGTGTTTGTTTATGGCTTTGTCCAGGTAATCTACTGGATTATTACTACCGTGGATTAATTCCCTTGACGAAGATATCACCGCTGGGATATATTGAGTTTGCCATAGATATTGTGCTTGAGCTTCAGGGAATCATGGCTTTGTTTATTTCTCACGAAGTTACTCTCTATCTGTCTCTCATCGTATGCAAAAATGTTTGCCTGTTAACAAATCTGAGTACAGATTTTCTTTCTTTTCTTTTAGGGATAATGGGATTGTTTCTGTGAAGATATGTAAGTATTCATTTATATATACCATGCATGTAAAACACAAACATGGAAAAGATGCTCGAAAACAAAAAAGTCTGAGGGGATCTGCCTTCATTAATTTTATTATATTTCACATGGTTAGAACCTTTTCATCCATCAGGTGCAAGCTTCTGGTGCAACTATATAGACAATTGGCCTTAATTAGTGTCTCATCATGTGGGATTGGGTACATGAATTATATTATGTTATTGCACTTAAGTGTATAATTAAATTTAGTTGATAGTTTTCACCAATTTCTTCTTTGATCGTTCCTCCAAGATATATGCCACTTGATGAACAAAGATGACAAAGTTATCTCCCGGGAGCAGCTTCAATTGATCACAGCCTGATTTCAGGGCTGCAATCTCAGCAAGCTTGATACATATGAATTTGCCTTTGCAATTGCAATGGCTTAGGGATAGGTCAGTTAGTGACACGTACGCAACGCGGGAATAGGGGATGCTTTTTGCAGAGTTTCTTTTGTAGTGAGGATTTGACTTGAACTGTTATAAACTGAGTTGTAAAGGGATGACTTTGTACCGGTCTTACCAATGTATGAAATTGATATATACATGATCACAGCAAGCTAAAAGGCTTAAAGCAAAGCAACAACTGTTAGGTTCCTGCCAGTTGCCATCTAGGACAGGGAACGAGTTTGGCGTTTACCGTGTCGGGTTTTTAAGTTCATTTTAAAGAATGTCAGACTCATTTCCCACGTTCTGGCCGTCCTGCTGCTACATTTTTGTTTAATCTGCTAAACATTCCTCATGCTTATTATATTCACCGGAGACCCCCACGTTCTGACATTTCAAAATGGGAAGAGTCTAAGACTTATGCTTCATTTCCATGCTCCCTCAGCCCCACTGCATCGCCTCCATAATGACTAATTAATCACATTTAGTCACCTCTTAATGATTGTTTCTTGGACCCTTATGTCATTCTAATTGCACTTTTATCAGGTCCAAGGTGTTTAAGGGTTATTGAACCCTTTGCATTAATTTATCTATCAATGCATGAACTTGGCCACCCTATGAGTTGTACTTTGCCTGGTTTTGGCCCCACAGTGGACTCCTGGATTAGTAACAGAATAATGATTTGGAATTAAGAACTCAATAAACTAATGTCGGTCAATCCTTGCTAACATTCTCTTCTGGGTTCGGGGTATAAATATATATGTCCCTGGTTTCTGCTCACCCCAAGCACCTTTGAGAGCTTCAATTAGCAAGTAGCACTGCAGAGAAACAAAATCCTCCTTGTTTTCTCCACAACCTTCTTAGTTTAACAAGAGAGATGGAGTCACTTGCAGCTTTTCCTGATGGAGAATGGGACTCCATTAACCGAATGTTCTCCACCGAAGAGCTTGATCTCACACAGCAAATTCTTCATCAGTTTTCTTTCCCATTGGAGCATGATGAGGGATTGAGCTTCATAAACTCATCGACGTTTTGTCCTATTTCTGAAGCCAATATGTGCATTGCTGGTGTCACTGAGAATTTGCCATATTCTTCCAATGCTATTGACTCTAATTTTCACTACAATTCTCAGGAAAGTAGTCAAAGTAGCAATTCTAGCGGTAGTGTCTTTGTTTCCCCTCCAAATCTTGAAACCTACTGCCTTAGTGGTTCTAATCATGTTGCTGTAACAAATGATATCACCATGTCCTCCTTGGATATTTCAATGGATATTGGCGGGGTAAGTGATAAAATTACAGGCTCATTTCCCCCAGTATTCCCAAACCTTGCAAGGGAAGACACTGTTAATGTCATTGAAGATTTGAGCAGTGACAGCCTAGGGAAATTATTAGATGCAAGCCACCCATCAGCTAATACTGTGCTTGCTAACGAATTGCTACTCAAGAGGAAGTTTGACGTGCTGGAATTGCATGCTGAAGGAGATAAAATGAACATCAATAGCAATTCATCTGAGCATGCAAAGAGAAGACCTCGGGTTTCAAAAGATGTAAGAGAAATTTTGAGCTATTAGATATAAACTAGGGCATTCTTATTCTGAAGCATATAATTTTATTATATTAGTTCTAATTCATGGATTGGAAATGCAGGCAGCGAAAGTTTATAAGAACGTGCAGTCAAAGAAAAACCGCAAGATCAGTTTAAATGGCAATGAAGGAGAGAGTAACATTGGTTCGGATGGACAGAGTTCTAGCACCTGTAGTTCAGAGGATGACATTGTGTCTCAGGACACTAATGGGGTGGCAGCCTCAGATTCCAAAGCTTCTCAAGCTCTTAACTTGAATGGAAAGACAAGGGCTAGCAGAGGGTCAGCAACCGATCCCCAGAGCCTTTATGCAAGGGTAAGAAGTTCCCTACCAGCGAGCCTAGCTATCATGATTTATGAGTTCATTACTCTAGTTCAGCTGTTCCAACTATGGCATTTTTCCTAACTCCCTTTTGCTTGATTTTCACAGAAAAGAAGAGAAAGGATTAATGAGAGATTGAGAATTTTACAGAACCTTGTGCCCAACGGAACAAAGGTAAGCATTACACGTCCATATATATGAGATTTGTATAACTACTTAATTTATATCTAAGACACAAAACACATAAGGTTCTGACCTCATACTTCCATTGATGGCAATACAGGTTGATATCAGCACAATGCTTGAAGAAGCTGTTCATTATGTGAAGTTTTTGCAACTCCAAATCAAGGTAAGAGAATCAATAGGATTAAATAAAACCTTAAAAACAAATTATGAAAGAGTTACTTTAATACATTTAAGCCATTATTCTAATACAGTATTCTCTGTATGATTGCAGCTTTTAAGTTCTGATGATCTGTGGATGTATGCTCCCATTGCTTACAATGGCATCGATATCGGTCTTAACAAGAAGATCTCCACACTTCTATGACCCTGGAAGGAGCGGCTACTTAATTTAATTGACAACAAATGAAAAAAACAATAATATACATTTGCTGACTTGTAGTACTCAGAAATCTGAATGAACTTCCATTTTTCAATCACGAGGAGTAATCCTTGTTTTGATAACGATATATCCCATCTGTTTTCTTTCATTTATTAGTATATTCCAACTGAATGTCCCCTAGCACATGCTTCCAGATGCGTGTGCCGCGGGGGATTGTCAAGTTACAGAAATTCAATGAATGCTTCTGATCATGAAACTATCAACTGAACTCAGCACCAGACTGGATAGTATAATATAAAGTGTACAGCAATAATGTAGCCATGGATCTGTTGCTTTAGACTTAGTTTGCATTCTGGACGTAGATCCCAAAACTAGGGCTTTGAGTTTTGATCTCAATTTCATCAATGCTTTCAAGGGATTCAGAATCTTCAGTCCAGATTGATGGTTGAGTTTGCATACTCAATCACAATGGTGAACTCAGACTTAATACGCTAGCTGGGAGCTGAAAGAACAGAATAAAATGCTACGTTAATTATAATAAACTAATTTGGCAGGATATATAGTTGAAATTATAGGAAAAAACTTTAATTCATGCTTATAGGACTGGTTGGATTATTATTGCATCTGTACCATCATAATTAATACCATAATATATACTAACTCCTTTGTTGTAATAAAATCTTATATTAATCATCTTTTAATTTTAAATTAAAAAATTACAAATTTGTTATTTTAAGATACCAATAATCATGATCACATATCTTTAACCATGGAATCCAAGGTCTGAATAAAAATCTTCTGCTCTCATTTGGTATTTTATTTCGTGTTCATTTCATAATTTTGCATCACATATTAAAATCACTCTAATTGTTAAGTTATTTATTTCAAGTTTAAAATTTAACATTCAAAATTTAAGTTTTAAATTTAAGATTTATAATATAAGAGTTAAGATTTTTTGTTGTTGATAACATAAAATTAATGTGACTTAAAATTATTAAAAAAAAAAACAAGCGAAGCACCAATCCAGGTACACAACAAGACAAATGAATTTTATTTTGTTAAGTGCAACATGTTACTTTCGTTATTAACCAAAGAATTGACGAAATTAAAACTTTGTTATATTGGACCTATGAAAGGCCTCAGCAGCCTTACAGAAATGGGCTCGGCCCATCAAATATAAGAAATCTTTTTATAGGCTTACGTGGCAAAATTTTTATTGGCTTACGTGGCATATGTTACGATGATTGCAAGTTTGCGGAGTTGGCAGTAACGCACAGGGCTTGCAAGTAATTTCGTTATATCGAAAACCCGTTCCGCCGTCGAATCCCACTCCGCGAAAAAACCTCTCACTCCTCTGAGCCAGAGAGAAACAGTGCCGCATCCGGCATCGCCTGCCTCTCTCTTTCTCTCCGCGGAAATGGCGATGGCATCTTCCGAGCAACCGCTGAAGAAGCGACGGCTGTACGAGCCGCCACCAGACCCACCGGAAACCGTAGCGCAGCCAGAGACCTCCGTGGCTCCACCGACCACTCCACCTCCGCTGTCTCAGGAGGAGATTCTTGCGAGAAGGAGAAACGGAGAGGAGATTCGAAGTGTGTACGAGAACTATAAGAGGATTAAGTCTTGTATCGCCCTGAAAGGGAAAGATGCTCGGCACATGCCTGAGCTTGAACAAGCTTACCTAGCTCTCATAACTGCTTCTAGAGGTCACCTTCTTTTACTCTTTTTCCCTCCTATTTTCCGTTATTGACATTGAATTTTGATCCGGTGCGTATTGAAGCAGAAAAATTAATAGAATTAGACATGTTTTGGTAGAATCTTATTGGAGACAAAGTTCTTATTTAAACCTAAATGAGCTCAATTCTAGTTAGTGAGTAAATCTCAAGTTGTGGAATTTGTAGATAGATGATTTTGGTTAATATCTAATTTTTTTTTTTTGGAATGTGTTATAGTGGAATGCTGTGTAGAGAATAATGAGAACAATTAGAACATGTGAAGCACTGCTTCACGCATAACAACTAAAAAAGTGAAACATTAGAATAAATGGAGCATTAATCCATACGAAATAACTATTTCATATAGAATAACCACTTCAAACGGATATCAATGAAAGTAACTTGGAATAAGTGATGGGTTACTTTAATCTTGGATGTTTTGGAGAGTTTGGCTTAGTGGCCTAGATGTTGAGATAGTTAAGAAGTTTTTTCTTAAATTTTTCTTGAAATACAGAGTGTGGCTCGTTCTCCCCCTTACCTTGTTCTATTGTATTAGTTCATGTACATCTTTTTCTCTTGTGTCTGTTCACGTACATTTTTTGTTCTCCTATAGCTTTTCCTTTATACCTCGTCCTTTTACCATCTACTCAAAAATAAATCTTATTACATTATTAGTGATCATTAAACACATTACTGCAATATTCATATAATGGGTTTCTAACAGTTATTCAACATAAAGCTCAGTAACGGTTAACTAATATTAAAACTCTTCTTATATCGAGCCTTCACAATCCATTTGAAGGATTTTTTTTCCAAAGCTAGAACATTTTCACCTAGAGCTTCTCTCTAGCTTCTCTATAATTCTCTACCTATTCTCTTCTTATTTTCTTCTGCTTGCCACAACACGTAGTACTTTAAGAATTGCTTCGATCTTCCTCTCCACCTCTTCTGGTACACTCTTTTACTTGTTTTTGATGCTTCTTCTTCCTATCACAAGAATCCCTTTATAGAATTAATATAACTTGATTGGATTTGAATGGAACTTCAATGCTTTAGAGTGTTCTGGATGCCATGATATATACATAATTATGCATTAAAACTATTATAGTAACAATTGTTTTTACTTCTTTGCAGGTTGTACAAGTGTGCAGCGTCTTGTTGCCGATTTCATTCCTCGTTATGCCTCATACTGTCCAACTGCTCTTGAAGCTGCTACAAAAGTGATTATCAATGTGCATAGCTCTAACTTGGCAGTGATTAGTCGGGGAGGAGATGCTGATAATGTTGCATTTCAAACTGCTAAATCTTGTATTTTTGGTCTAGCTGATCTTTGTTGCACAGCTTCTGCAGAGACACCAACATCATCAGTTGTCAGAGGCGTCTGCTCAGCAGTTTTCCAGAATGTGCTCTCCTTTCTCGTATCATCCTTCGAGGGAAAAGATTTGTTTCAGATTGTTGATAATGATATTTGGAGAATGCAGGATTCTGATGAAATATTTTCTGAGCTAAAGCAAAGATTTTCAGATGAAGATGAATCTTCATTGATTAAGTTATCCAAATTCCGTGCCCTAAGTCTACTCTGGATTTTCTTCCATTGTCCAAAGAATTTGCTTGCTGCCTGTTTTGAGCTCTTCAGGTCATCTGCAACTGAAGAAGCTGATAAAGGACTGTATTTTCTGAGACAGGCAACAGGCAGGCTTGATAATTTAGATGTTGAAAGTATTTTAGGTAAAATAACTGTAGGGCCTAAATCATGTACAGATTTCCTTGGAATAAGCACCAAAGGCAGTTTGCTTAGTGGTGAGACACCAAGATCAGATAGTTGCTATGTCACAGAAGATGCATCTCCTGCTCTGAAGAGCTCTTTGTTGGGTCTGGTAATATTTTATTCAATCTATCAAATAAATTTCATGGAATTGAGTTGTTTCAAATTTCTTATTTCTGACACTAAAGCAATGGTAATTATTTTAATTACCTTTTGGTGTACGGGTTATATTTGTCTTTATATTCTTAAAATTTTGCTTATGTTTGTCTATTGCTCATTTCTAGTGGCATCCCATATCCTTTAATGTAGGTTTTTGGTAGAAATCCATCATTGAGAAGTTGGATGGTCTTAAAGTACAAGAACTTGTGTAAGTTGTCTCCAACTAAATCTGTACCAGGGATTATATCTAGCTTGGAAGGAATCTTTGAATCATTTGGGAAATGTATTAATATAGAAGTTCAAGCAGACAGTGATGAGGATGATTCTGATTCCTCTAATTTTGTTAGTCAGCCACACTTGGTGTCTAGAAGCTCTAATCAACATGAAACCTTAACTGACCAATCTGGAAGCAATAAAACCAGCAATGAGATTTGTGCTGAAAATTTATCGGGTCAGTATCTGAAGCCTCACATTGTTCCCCTTGAAGCTAATGTCCACCTGAATGCTGGTTCTGGTCATGATAGTGGAGGGTCAAGGTCCATAGACTTTGAAAGGCATGACCATGGGGATTTGTCTGGTAGTAGATCTTCTATTTCTAGGGACTTATCAAGCCATCAGATGCTTTCACCTGTCACTAGAACATCACTAGACTTCAGGAGTAATTCTTTTGAAGGCAGAAATCACGTTAAGAATGTTGACAAGAATCAAGTTTCAAATACAAGTGGTGCTTCTGCCTTGAGATCATCTAGTGGAGGTGTAAGCAATGCTTTGGCATCTCCCAGTGGTCGGTTTGGAGCATCATGTGGTTCAACATCTTCTCAAACTGCTTGGTATTTTGATGGTGATCCTGCTGCCATGGGTATTTTCTCAGCTTCTCGGCAGCTATGGTTGGGAGCTTTGGGGCCTGATGCATCTGAAGGCCATATAAGGTTTCAGCTTGAGAGGTTTGGTCCAATTGAGCAATTTTTCTTCTTTCCAATCAAAGGATTTGCATTGGTTGAGTACAGAAATGTCATTGATGCCATAAGGTCTAGGGATTATGTCCGTGGCTGTTTTCCTTGGCGAGTAATGTTCATGGATATAGGGTTGGGAACCAGGGGTGCCGTGAATGGTGTCGCTGTTGGTTCTAGTTCTCATGTTTATGTTGGAAACGTTACAAGTCAATGGGTAAAGGATGAAATTTTGCATGAATCAAGGAAAGCGGTCTACAAGGGTCCTTACATGGTCACTGATCTTACTTGTGAATGTGCATTGCTGCTGGAATATGAGACTCCAGTAGAAGCTGCTGCTGTAATGACACATCTCAGACAGCATCGAAAAGAAAGAAGTAACCATATGCCGGTATTTAATGCAGGGCCAGCTAATGTCTCTTTGTCTCATGTTGACACTGGAAGGTCTGGTGCTGCTCCACCTATCCATGTTGACGTAAAAAATAGTAACTCAGCAAACATGTCTAGCAGCTCAATGGAACTTGTATCTCCCAAGTTGAGGGGTGAGAATCATGGAACTGCAGCACCAGTTACACATCCATATCAGTCAAACTGGCCTGCTCCGGGTTGTACAGATATGCCTGAAGGTGGGTTGAGAAAAGTTGATGGTTATGACAACAACCTTATAGCAGACCATACACAAGGAGGTAATGTTGTAATACTAACTAATTGTAATTAACACTGGCTCTTATTCTCTTATCATAGTTGTATATTAACTAACCATATTACAGGTGGTGGTGTTGTCTCTGGTGCCTCTGGACAAGTATGGAATTATAAGAAACCTGAAAGTGAGCTGCATTTAGCACCTGGGACCATGCCATGCATGCCTATAGCAACACAGAGCCTTTCTGCTCCACCACCACCACCACCACAACAACTCCAGGCACCTCCCTTTATGCGACCTGTTTACCATCCTTCAAACAGTTCCTGGGATCCCAGAGGTTTGAATCACCAGTTTCCTCAGAATCCAATTTCACCAGGTGTGGTGCCTAATACTTTTCATGGTAATGCTGTTCCACCTCCCTTTATACCTGCTTCTGTGACTCCACTTGCTCAGATACAGGGACCTCCAATACAGCATTTTGAGCAGATGTTTCCACATCCTGTTGTCCCACCACCTTTATCATCAATGCCACCTTCTCAACCTGAAATGCCACCTCCACCTCCACCACCTCTATCTCCACCACCATTGCCACAGTCGCTGCCACCTCTTGTTCCTCCTCCACCTAATTCACCTCCTCCCCCTCAACCTAGTGCAGAATCAACTGATATGGGAAGTTCTGAACTGTGTGTAAAGCATTGGTGGCAGGGCACATTGTGTAAGAGTGGGGCTCATTATTGCACAATTTATGCACAGAGACTAGAGTCAGATCTTTGCAAATATTCAAATGCCATTTCTGAACCTGCAGAGTATGAACTTTCTTCTTCTTCTTTTTCCCCCTTTAACTTATGTCGTGATTACAATTTTTCTCAAGAGTACGGAGTAATTTATATTAAAAACTTTCTCCTCTGGATGTGTCATGCAGATGGCCTACCAAATTAGACATGACCAAACGCACAGACTTTCGGCATGTAAAGTCAACGTTCACCAATACCCCACCACATAAAGTGAGTCAATAATATTTCTTTTGTTTTTTTCTAAGATTATTATTGTGGAAAGAGCTGAGTTGAATATCCTTTCAGTTTCTTTCCTTTTTTCTTTAACAGAAACGGTCTTCCAGTTTTCAGTTGTATTCATTTGTGTTTTTTTGTGTTGTAGAGGGAAGTTTGTTGCTTGATCCCTTCTTCTACTGGTGACCATAAAGGCGTAAGTGATCTCACATTTAAAAACTTATCCCTAAATAGTTTATGTTAAGTTGTGTTCTTTGTGCACAAGATTTTATGTTCAAGCCTCTCATTTCCCCATTTAGATAGTTTCTAATAGCGGCTTCAGCTTGAAACAATCTTATTAGTTGCCAAAAGTGCTCTTTTCAAAACAATTTATTGATACCTAAATGAAGAGATATAATAATGTGGCTTCTCTATCAAATTTCAGTAATAATCCTAATTAATTTAGAATTTCTTTTATGTAATTGCTCTAAGTTTGTAATCTTGCAACTTCTTTCTCCAGTTTCAGGATTTTATCTCATACTTGAAGCAGAAGGAATGTGCAGGAGTGATTAAGATTCCAGCAATGAAATCCATGTGGTCCAGGCTACTTTTTATTCTTCCCTACTCACAAGAGGCATGTTCAATGCTTTCAGTTGCACCTAATTCATCTGAGTGCCTCGTTGCTTTGGTTTTGCCCAAAGAAACAAACTTTGAGTGGGTATGAGACACAGTGGCTTACGATGGGGAGCAACCTAGACCAGTTGCTTGTTTTGCTCCTTGGAAATTCAAACTGAGAATGGACTCGATGGTATCTCATGCATCACCTGAAGAATTTGGTAAGGATGCTTATCTCCATCCTTCAATTGTACAAAACCTTTTTTTCCCTTTGAGAGCCTATTAGGTTTGTGAGGTACACTTTGGGAACGATTTAGTTTTAAACCTAAAAATTGTGAATAAAAAATAATCTCTAGTTTTGTTTGAGAGTTCCCTATGATATAGTATTTGATTGGGAATCCTATAGCAAAGCAACGTTTCTTGTTATCATGTGGCAAAGGCAGAATTTTATTGTTAGCTTACGTTATAGATATTTGTAGGAACATCCTTTGCAGTAGTTTGCAGGGGTAGTTACTCATCTCCATGTTCTTTAGAAAAAAATGAATTCACTTGTGCTTGGCCACCTAAATTAAATGGGCGCTTTCGATTCTTTTGTCTGCCCATCATGAGAAGAGAAGTTTTATTTTATTTTTTTTTTCGGATACCCAAATTATAATTCCAATTAACTAAAATGGTTTCTTGAGAAGGAAAATTGACTTAGCATTTGAATTTTACACGATTATTTAATGAAGTTTTGGAGGTAATTGTGTAATTAATATAAAAATTATATAAATGTTAACGAGATTAAATATTAATATAATTGCCTATAAGGCTTATGTTTGCATTAGAAAGTACCAACATTCAATCCAAATCCTGTGAAGGTGGATTCTACTTCCTGCATCTGTTTGATCATTGTTTTCTTGAGTGCGGCTTTTAGTGTTTCATCCTTGATTGAGGTTTAAGGTTTAGATGGTAAATATTTAAAACTCTGTGGATCGGCTAATACATAGCAACGTTTGGTTGACAAAAAGGAATGTAATATGTTTGCAATTGTATTCATGTTCCAATGAGAGAAGATCATTTTCTTGCTCTCTGTAAGGGAAAGTTATATATTTTTTCTTCCCCAAATTGTCCATCTCACTCATTTGACCTTTCTCTTCTCCTTCTTCTCACTTTGCCTTCTCCTCATTGTTTCGACCCTTCCCTTCTCTTTTCCCCTCTTCTCCTCCTCATTGTCTGCAGGAAGGGTAGCCTGTCACTAATAACACATTTGGATTAAATTTTATCATTAAATTTAAAAATTGAAAAGATTAAGATTTTAGGTTTCATGAAATTTTAATTCAAATTTTTAAAAAATTTAGAATTGTTTTAAAAAAAATTATATTTTTAACGTTGAAAATTGAAAGAGAAATATTTAAATGATTTAAAATCTAAAAAATTTATTAAGAAATTGAAAGGATTTGAAAAAAAAAAAAAAAGATGTTTGGTATCGCAATTATAAGGATAAGAAAGTATAAAAAATGTTTAAAATTATAAAATTAAATATTTATTAATAGATGAATGTATTTAATTATATAAAATTAAATATTTATTAATAGATGAAAATATCTATTTATATATTACGTTCAAATTTTTAACAGCGATTGGATAATATTTTTTATTTTTAATTTTTATAAATTCAAAGTGAAAATAAATATTCAATATTTTTATATATTTTAATATTTAAATAATTAATATAAAATATTTTATTATTTAAATTATTTAAATTATTTAAAATTAAAAAGTTAAATTTTTTAAAAATTATAAATTTATTTAATATATTATATATATATAATAATTTTATTAATTTACATTAAATTTTCAATAAAATCAAATACTATAATATAATCCTATCAATAATTATATTTTCTGTAATTATTAATTTTTTTATTATATTAAATATTATAAAATTATATTTTTAATAATTATATATTCAACAACCACATCCTCAATAATACGAAATAGAAAATTCTATGATTTCTGCTTTACTTACCGCGAGTATAAAAAACTGGAATTAAATTTGGGGCTTCTGCTTTTTACGTGCTAAGCCAAGAAAATTAAAAAAGATGGCAATAAACATGAGAAGAGAAACCTAAAGCTAAACCCTTCTGGGAACAGGCGGACTGCGACAACTATAAATTGAAAAACACTGATGAGAAGTTTTTCTGTCTTCCTAAGACACTGAGAAGCTGACATTGAGCGCAAACTATCTTCCAGAAAATGTCTCACAGACGTACTCACACCAACAGGCAAGAAGGCGACAGCCGAAGTAATTTCCCCAAAACCCAAAAGAAATTAATCCCCAAAAGTCAAAATCAAAACAAAAACCAAACCCCTAATCCCACCACCTCCCTCTCGTCTTCCCTCAGGCAATCTCTTCCCAAGCAACGAGATGCTCCGCCATCCGGCAGTCCCGCCGCACCCTCGGGCTCTGCCAGTATCCGTGTTCGGATGGGAGAAAACGGAGATTGGGTACCTAACAGAGGGACTCCATCAACTCACGATGGCAATTTCGTAAATTATTTGCCCCAAGATGAGGCCGTGGCGGCCGGGCTTGGCGCCGAGGAGGGAGGATTGGATCCAGTTGAATCGCAGAGAGTGGTTGATCTCTTAAACAGAGAGTTGTCTCGCTTGCTCAAGCTCAGTCCCAGAGAATTCTGGAAACAGGGTAACTTTTAACTGCCATTTTATTGTGTGTTTTTTTAATCCATTTACTATTTCTCAGTCTCATTTATTGTGGTATTTTGCTTAGTGTCTGGAGACACTTCGTTGCATAAATTTCTGGACAGCTTCTTGCAATTTAGGAGCAGGTGGTATGATTTTCCTCATCGTGGTGTGAAAGGGATCGTTGCTGGGGTTATTGTAGGAGAGTTTGAATTAAGCCGCCGTGTCCTCATGGTGTTGTACAGAATGTAAGTTTTCAGTTGTATAACTCTTCTCTTCATATTCACCATTGTAGTGTGGTGAATTGATATAGACCTTCTTGCTATTGTAGATCTTCAAATAGGGATCCTGCTGCTCGAGCTGCTGATAGTCTTAATGCAAACGACCATGCAGGTGGGTTGTCTCTTTTCTGTGTCTTCTTATTGGGGGGTGAGTGTATTTTAGCCTGGTCACGTGTAGTTGCTGTTCATCAATATAATTCCCCCCCACCCCAAAATGTTGTTAAATTTTACCGTATAGCATGTTGCATATGCTCATTTTGTTCACTAATTCATCTTGCAGTCATCTTGCAGGAGAAGAAGTTGCTCAACTTGCCGAAGTTGTTGGACATTTGTGCTATATATGGTCATGAAAATGATGATCTGACCAAATTGCTGGTAAGCATTCTTTTGTAGAAAGTGATTGAAGACTTGATGCTCTTTTCTAATGGTTAATGAATTTAGAATTCTTTCTACATGTGTTGACCGTTTTAAGGCCTATAGGTGAGCTGCTCTTATGAAGCGTATCTGCTTCAGTTTCTGCTGCAAGTATCTGTGATTAACTAAGAGACCAAAGATCTCTTGCTGCCCTTGAATCTTTTGCTTTCTAAGCTTCCATTATTGTCAAAAGAAGTTGTCTAATGGTCACATTGCAAGTCATAATTGCAATTAATATTTGTCAGCCACCCTGCAGAATCAGAGTCCAAGGTCAATTAATAAGGCTGAGATAAAAATTATTTTCCACAGTTTCTAAATTAAATGGTCCACACAAAGCTAAATTGTTAATAGGCCTTGGACTTTTTTACCTTAACTACAATCTAGGTAGATCTTTCAAATGTTCCACGTCTATACCCTTTTAGGTCATAGCAGTTTGTGTGCCTCATAGTTGATCATTGTGGGAGATATCGTCTTATGTCTCATGTTGACTGGAGCTCTGCTCTTTTGCTGCTCGTCCCCAAGCACCCCCCTCCCCCCTCCCT